GGGAGGATCATGGGTATGAAAACTGTGGAAGAAAGATGAACCCAAAGTGTTGTAGTTGTGGAGGAGAGCACAGTGTGACGTATGCAGGATGCCAGATAATGACTTGCAAATACAGCAAGTGAGAGTTAAAAACAAGATATCATATGCTGATGCAGTGAAGATGGTTACTCGAAGAACCGAGGATAGTAATGAAGGAATAAGGGAAGAATCTGACAATAGGAGGGTTTGAGAAGAGGACGGGGAAGTATTGGTGGATCTAAAGAAACTTGTTACCTTCATAGCTGGAGTAATAAATGCGACAATGGAGGCCAAATCAAAAACTGAAAGAATTCAAATCATCGTAAAAGCAGCAGTACATCATCTGGATATCAGCGATCTAACATGGGAGGAGGTACAAAGTACTCTTAAGTTCTCAAGCCGGTCAGGACTTGGGAAATGCGGGGTGATAAATGTTGAGGGTTTTACAATGGAATGCACGGAGTTTAATAGTTAATGGACAGGAGTTTAAAAGTTATATTGATAAGTCAGACTTTAAGCCTGATATTATATGTATTCAGGAATCATGGCTTAAAGTAGGGGTTGACTTTAAGATTCGTCAGTATATAGAAGTTAGGTGTGATAGATCGGGGGGAGTAGGTGGTGGGTGTGTGACATTTATTAAAAATAATGTTCATTTTAGAACTGTAGAGATCGTAAAAGAAGAAGAATTTGTAATAGTGGAGGTGTTTACCAATCAGGGGAAAGTTATTATAATAAATTATTATAATCCATGCAAAAGATTGGAGATTGAGGGAATAAGATCACGAGTTGGGATTAATGGCAGACACTTAATTGTGTGCGGTGATTTTAATGCACATAGTACTGTGTGGGGGGCTAGGAAAACTGATTTAAATGGGGAAATAATGGAACGAATTATGGAGGAGGCAAATCTGGTATGCATTAATGATGGCAGAGGGACTCAAATAGATGTTTATATGGGTAAAATGTCAGCACTGGACATAACTTTAGTGTCTAGTGAGTTGGCAGGTAATAGTGAATGGGAAGTACTAGAAGATACGATAGGAAGTGATCGTTGTTTAGTTCTAACGACACTTTTCGAGACTAGAGGGATGATGGTGGAAGGCAGGGAAGGGAGGTGGATTTTTAAAAGAGCTGAATGGGATAAGTTAAGAAATAATTGTGAAAAATGGAGGTCAAAAGTAGTGATATCAGATAAGGTAGTGGAAATGGAAGAAGTATTTAGAAGTGTGATAATTGAGGCTGCAGAATTAGCAATACCAAAAACTAAAGGTAACACAAGGGAGAGGAAGAATGTGCCATGGTGGTCTGAAGTCTGTGAGAAAGCAATTAAAGCGAGAAATAAAAACCTAAAGATGCTACGGAAGACACATAATATGGAAATTTTACTGAATTATAAAAAATTGCAAGCAGAGGTGAGAAGAGTTGTTAAAAAAGCAAAAAGAGAAAGTTGGAGAAATTTTTGTGGTAAAATAGGGAGAACTACACCGATAAGCAATGTTTGGGGAATGAGAAGAAAAATGAAAGGAATAAGGAATGAATGGAGTTATCCGGTGTTAAAAGTAGGAGATGAATTTTCTGTAACTAATGAGGAAAAAGTAGAAGTACTTGTTAAAACATTTGTTAAATTCCACAGTACTGATAATTTATCAGAAGAAAGAAGAGAAAGGAGATAAGTAACTAGAAGGAAAAATGAAACACAAGGGGGAGGAAGTGAGGAAGATATAACAGTACTATGGATATGCCTTTTTCTTTGTTTGAGTTGGAACGTGCATTAGCTACAACAGGTGTGACTAGTCTAGGAAAAGATCAAATTTGCTATATAATGTTAAAACAATTAGGGAAGCAAATGAAATTGAAATTATTGGAGATTTATAATATGATATGGGAAACAGGAAAATTACCAAAAAATTGGAAAGAAGCAGTTATTGTACCAATAGTTAGGGTAGGAAAGGAATCAAGTAGTCCAGATAGTTATAGACCCATTGCATTGACATCTCATGTAGGTAAAATAATGGAAAGGATGGTGGTGGATAGATTAACAGATTATTTGGAAAGAAATAAAAATATATCACAGTATCAAAGTGGGTTTAGGAAAGGGAGAGGCACTATGGATGCAATTGTTTATTTAGAAGCAGAAATTAGAAAAGCGTTGATTAATAAAGAGAGTTTAGTGATAGTCTTTTTTGATGTAGAAAAAGCCTATGACATGGTGTGGAAAGAGGGACTGTTAATAAAACTTAAAAAATTAGGAGTAGGAGGACGAACGTATAACTGGATTGAAGATTTTTTGAGTGAGAGAAATATTCAAGGAAAAATAGGAAGTACACTTTCTAGGGGGTGTAAAGTAGAAAATGGCACTCCTCAAGGAAGTGTCATTAGTCCGATATTATTTACTTATATGATAGATGATGTGTTTCAGAATGTGGGGAATGAGTTTGGTAAGGCATTATTTGCAGATGATGGAGCAATATGGAAGAAAGGGAAAAATATCCAATATGTGCAAAAGAAAGTTCAGGAAGCAATTAAAATGGTGGAAAACTGGTCATATGAATGGGGTTTCAAATTTTCAGTGGAAAAAACTAAAAGTATGGTGTTTACAAAGGGCAAGAAAGTAATGGAGAATTTATCATTGTATGGAAAAGAGTTGGAGCAAGTAGATAAGTTTAAATATTTAGGAGTAATATTTGATAAAAGGTTGATATGGAAGGATAATATAACTAAAATAGAGGAAAGATGCAAGAAAGTAATAAATATAATGAGATGTGTGAGAGGATGTGAGTGGGGGGCTAGTGCTCAGGCGTTAAAAAACATGTACAGTGCAATGATACGATCAGTGATAGATTATGGGAGTATAGTTTATAATTCAGCATCTAAAACATTAATGAAACGGACTGAAATCATACAAAGTCAAGCATTAAGAGTGTGTTGTGGAGCACTAAAAACTACACCTGTTGTGGCACTACAGGTAGAAATGGGTGAGATGCCAATACAGCTTAGAATAAAACAGATAGCTTTGAATTATTGGGCAAGTATACAAGTAAGTGCACCGCCACGGCAAAATAAAAACCACTGCCGGTTTCTCCCCGTGTGCGAAGGCTACCTAAACGCGCATCATGCACAGTGCGCAGGGCATGGCCAGAATGGCATCAAGCAGACAGGTTTATGAAAAGAAAAACGTCCATCCAACCGTTTTCTGAACCCGCTTGTCCATGTAGGGTTGCTGGGGGGCTGGTGCCTATCTCCAGCGGTCAACGGGCAATCAAGCGGGGTACACCCTGGACAGAGTGCCAATCCATCGCAGGGCAACACAGAGACACAGGACAAACAATCATGCACACACACACTCACACCAAAGGACAATTTAGACAGATCAGTCAACCTAACAGTCAAGTTTTTGGACTGTGGGAGGAAGCCGAAGTACACGGAGAGAACCCACGCATGCACAGGAAGAACATGCAAACTCCATGCAGAAAGATCCCAGGCTGGGAAGCGAACCCAGGACCTTCTTGCTGCAAGGCAACAGCTGTAACCACTGTGCCACTGTGCAGCCCGAAAAGAAAAACAGATTATATTAATTATAGTACAAGCTACCGGACAACATGCACACGAGCAACACTGAGGTAGCAAATTAACTAGCGTTTCACACACATGACCCCATCTGTATGTGGCGAGCGGGGCCACTTATCAATTTAGAAATACAACGCCACCTGATTATCAGGAACCAAAACCACTGAACCTAAGGCACATTAGTTCATTTTTACAAATCAAGCTTGAGACGGAGTTCCATTCCACATAAACAGAGATTTTATTAAAAGAACAATAAAATGAGTTTAAAATAATCTACTAAAAACACCATGCACCCACAGATAAACACGGATTAAAACCAAATCAACTTAGGCTGAGGCTGACTAATGGGACTGCCTAAGAGAGCCCGGAACTAAATACCAACCACAAGTAACTTCACCCCAATCACACGTGCATGCATTCGGGGGGGTGAAGTGACTCTGGAGCACACGCACACCATCAGATGGGACCACCACTGACAGCTCACAGCCTAAATGAAAAGAAAACAGAAAGCAGGGTGAAAATCCAAATCCACACACACATACACACACACACACACACACTAAAACACAGCCACGACTGAGCAGGCAGGCCGTCAGGAAATGAGCGAGCATACAGCTCGCCTGCACACGAGTCTATTAGCCTGCGCCTCAGCCGTCCTTATGAGCTCCCGGGCCGACGACAACTGCCGGTAGGGCCCGCAGCCCCTCGTTGAAATACCCAACCCCACAGCGGGTGTACGCCCTCCTCTGGTATTCAGTACAGAGGAGCGAGTGACAAAAGCCGTTCCTGATGGTCTCCGCTGATCCCGTCAACCAGTCCGAGCAGCGGGGTGGAGAGGCCTTGGAGCCGGATGATGGTCCAGCACCGGGTCAACAACCAGTAATCAGAGATCCCATGAAACTGTGCAGAAAAGCAGCAGAACAACAGAGTCTCCCGTGGAGACACACCCCTTCCTGGATCTGGAAGACACATTAATTAGTATTATCCTAAAGCCACAGCTAAGTGGAGAGGAGCGCAGATGTACATACCACTTCTTTGAAGCACATAGGATAAAAGAGAAGCCTTCTGTTACTCTGGGAGGACCACATACAACAATTCCTGTGGCAGGAGCAACCAATAAACACCAGACTCCATGCAACTACTGCAGCGTTTTTAGATAGTACTCACAGTCCGACACGCTGGAGTCCCGTACACAATGGCGCTTCACAAAGGAAGCGGACGTTTGAGCCAAAGTAAAAGATCGCTGTAGCGCCACCTCAGGCCCTATTTATATTAGCGCCTTCCCTCAATGATAGGTCGTCCAATTACTTGGTGGCAGGTGACTCATCCCACTACAATCCACCCCCACCAAATAGATCGTCGCCTCGACGATCACTCACCAAAGACTGGGATTCATTCCCATGGTCTAAAAACTATCCACCTATACCTGATATGTCCGCAGTCAGGGGCTCAGCTTGTTGCTCTGACCCTTCTACTGGTCTAGGGAGGTGGTGGAGGTTGGAGTGCCGTCCAGCAGTGCGCCTCTGAGTTCGCCGGACATTAGTTTCAGTTACTGCAGGGCAATGGGCAACTGGCGTAGGTTGCGAAACAAGTGGGGCGGCTTGGGTCACCATTAACTCAGACTCTGTGGGCCCTGTGGGACTCACCACTGTGGGAGCTGGATGTGCTTCTGCCCTCGGTGCCCCCAGTGTAACCTGATCCACTGTGGTGGTCGGTGTCGGGACTGTCGCATAATCCTGGAATTCCAAAACAAAAAGGTCACCCTCATCAAGGTCACTATTCATTGAGAGCTCCCCTTCATCCTCCTGTTGGACAGACAACCGTGGAGGGGGAGCAGTGTTCTCCAGTGGAGTGGTTCCTACCAGTGGCTTAAACATGCTATGATGAACATGTCTGACCTTGGTCTGATCCTCCACTGGTGCCACTCCATACACTGGGCTTCCCTCCTTTGGTGCTTTCACCACCAAATGTATCACTGGGCTCCACAGATCATGGATCTTATGCCGACCCTTTATGCCATGTTGCCGCAGTAGCACCTGCTGGCCCTCAGCCAGAGGGGAGCTTTTGACCCGCTGATCGTGGTAGGTTTTCCTACGCTGAGCCGCTGCTGCCATTCTCTCTGTTGCCCCCTGAAAGGCAAACTGTAGCCGGCTCTGATGTTCCTGGACCCAGTTTTGGACATGGCCTCCCACTGGGTCCTGGAAACGACCAAGCAGGAAGTCCACTGGTAGCCTTGGCTCCTGTCCAAACAGAAGAAAAAAAGGAGATTCCCCTGTGGCCTGGTGGGGAGTGGTGTTATATTGTAGCGAGTCCTGGCCAGTCAAGGCTTAGAAACAGTGGTCAGAGACAAGGGTCACACAAGGGTCAAGAGGACAATAGTTCAGGACTTGCTGGTGAGGACAGAACTAGGCAAAGGGTCAAAAGACAGGCTGGCTTCTCTGGATCCGTCCATGGGTCCACCCATGGGCCCGCCCCTAACTCCACCTCTGGCGGGAAAAGAAGGAATGGCATGGAGTGAGGAAAAGTCCAGCTGGACCCAGAAGCTCTCAGAAATGCTGAAAGAAGATCTACAATTTGCTACCAACATGAAGATTTATGACCTGTGCTCTCATTCCAGGAGTGCAGCTTGTAACTTTTGTGCCCTCATGTGAATACTGCATGTAGTGAAAATGATACCAAATGTCTTATGTAGAGCTAAAAAAGTGTATTTTGTAAATGACCCCTTGACCTAAACTGTCAGGAGAGAATGACTTGTGACTCTTCCATTGTTTAGAGCAGTCTCAGGAATGATATAAAAGGATGCAGCTCAGATCGGGCTGGAAGAGTTACGACAGGAAGATTGGAGTCTTGTTTTGGGGAGATTCTGAGAAGACAAGAGCTGGTGTAAACTAACTCTTATTTAATCATTTTGAACTAATTCCTCCGTGGGGGATAGTAGTTGTTTTTTATTTACCCATTTTTGTATTTTGATTTTGTAATAAACCTTTTTTGAAAAAGAAACATAATCCTGATTCTTTCAGGTTTTCTCTAAAGCTTCACGTTTGGGGCCCTGGCCATAAATTGCACAGAGGTAAGCATATCAAGGATCGGTCTCTGAGTCATCGGGACTTACTTTACAGTTTATAATAGAATAATATAAAGAAACCTTAAGATAAGGGAAGTTATAACTTCCCCCTCCTTGCGAGTAACGAGTTGTCTTAAGGGCGATAAAAGCAGAATATTCGAGGTTATTTTGGCTCTGATTGCAGGTTGAAAAAGTCTCTAATCAGCTGGAAGGTTGGATTAATAAATAAATTGATAAACTTATGATAGCCTGATCAACTAGCATAAATCATTTTATAGTTACCAACCTCCCACATAAGCTGTTAGAGGCGCAATTAATTCCGGGTAATCCAAATAATTGCTGAGAGGCTTGGCTTGCCTCCAGACTTCTCTCCAGTATCTTAACCAAAAGGTAACGAGTTTAAAAGAAGTGTACTACTCTGGGGCTGGCTATTCGTACAAGTCGTTTCACCTTTAAAATAAAAGACAAGATTCTAATTAGATGGTCCAATCCCGGATCTGGTACAATTATACTCGCCGACATCCCCTCGAACCCTGAAGGATGCACCGCCTCATAAGTTCTAACGGAACTAGGTTTTAAAGGAACCGGTAAATGGGTTGGGCACGCGACATGGCGGCACCTGTGTGGGGCTACAGAGCGAAGGTTCAAATATTACCCCGGCTTTCCACGGGAGCCGTCAGCAGCACGTTACTGCAGCAGCACGTCATAGCTGCTGATAGGAACTGCTGTGGTCAACAGAACCTTTTCCACTGGAGCCGTCAGCAGCCGTCAGCAGTGCGAGTCGGCCGCGTCTCAGGAGCAGCAAGTCGCGGCCTTTACGCGCCGGTTCTATTTTCTACGCGCGACGCCTCTGAAACGGGTCAAGTTCGACATTTTTGGGGAAGGAAAGACAGGAAATCGGACGCGGAAATGAAGAGAAGCTACAGAGATTTTCAGAATAAAGAACGTGCTGCCTTCCGGTTGCTTCACTTTTAAAAAAAGTTACTAACTGTGCGTCCCCGTGAGAAGTTATCACCTATAGCGGTCTCCTTTGTTTTTCAGGTCCGTATTGGTGATTATAAAACGGACAGAACATAAAACACAAACCATGTTGTAGTTTTCTCCTGCTTGTTGTTGTGTTTACTGACAAAGTCACTCGTGTGACTTCGTGCTCTGTCGGTGGCAGCTGCTCCCCTGCTGCTTCGCGTCTCGTGGGAAGGGCCAAGCAGCAGCTTACGCGAGCAAGACGTGCTGCTGCAGTAACGTGCTGCTGACGGCTCCCGTGGAAACCCGGGGTTAGATACCGGACTATTCGACGTAGAACTATGTCTTTTAGGCTTCTAAAAGCTTACGCGCTATGGACCGGATAAGCTCATAACCTTGGAGTGAAAACCGCACCAATTTCTCGAAAAGGAAAGAAATTTGGGAGAACGGACGATTAACTCAAAGAGGTATAAAGAAATCACGGCTTTCCGACGTAAGAATAGCCAAGGATAAAAGCTAGGCAAATAAAAATAAAAAGAAATAAAGAATAAGAATAAAGAATAAGACGTGAAAACGAATAAAAATAAAATAAATAATAAAAAAGAGAAACTTTCAACCAGCCATGGCAGATAGATCTTTAACGGTAAAACCGGAAAATGTTCTCCTTAATGTGAGATTTGTCACCGGAGAAATAGCGACATTTCAAGGTGAACCACAGAGCGTTTTAGCAGTATCCTGTAACCGGAGCTTTCAGAACGAGGCCGGAACGGCTCAAGCCGCAGCGGAGCGCTGTCCGAATGCTGAAACTCAAGTAAAGAATAATCATGTATTTCCGTTAGTGGGGGATTTAGTGATTCTAGCAGAACAACAAAATGATCCCGTTTTTAATCAGATAGCGTGGTGTTGTTGGGAAAATCCAGCGAAACTCCCCACGGGCGAGCAATATGAGATCCTTCTGGGATTGCTTGAGCAAATACCAACTGGACCGGAACCTTTAGTTCTCACTCCATTTGGAGTCGGGCAGTACCGATGTGATCCGGGAGCGATGTACTCTGCTATGGCGGAGTTCGTGGTTCAACAGGCTAATAGTAGAACAATTTACTTCTTATCTAGAAGCAAAAATGAGGCAATTCAAATGAGACAGGCGTTATGTAACCGACTGGGGATCACGGAGCTCCAAGCGGAAATGTACCGGAGACGAGCTGCAGTCGAAATGTCGGCCTCCTGGGATGAAGCCCAATCGGTTCCGACCGCGCCCCCTTTGTATCCAGCGCTCCGCGGGGAATTCCCTGTGAGCCCCGGTTCCGAGAGCGGATTTCCTCCACCCCCACCGAACCCGCCTGACGCGGTTCGGCCGGCGCAGTGGAACCCGTTTCTACATGTACAAACCCCTTCTCAGGTGCCCACGAGAGGAGCGGAGAGACCGCCCACTGAACAGCATGTTGTTGCATGGGACAAAGATGAGACTCAGAGACGGTCAGGGGCTGAAAGGACTCCAAACCCAATTCCTTTTCCCCCGTTAGAACCGCATAGTCCCGCGGCTCCTCCGAATCATGTTATGATAGGTCAAGAACCGGTGATAATTTTATCAGGCGAGAAAATAGAGGCGGAGATCCGAGAGGAAGATGTGTTGATCTTTCTGAAAGATCCACAAAGTTCTGCCAGTACTACGTCCTCTTTAAGTTCTCTGAGGAGACTTTTAGGGGCAGAAAGCAGAAGCAATATGATCCCGCTGGTAGATCGTAATTACGAAGCTGGAGAAATTACTACTCTCTTAGACAAGCAATTAAGAAATCTGGAAGGTCGTGTTAGCGCGATTTCCATAATTAACGTAGACCCTCATAATCCCGACATCTCTTTTCACCAAGCTTGGGAGCGGGTGGTGTCAGAAGCCTTGGATTTAGGAGCGCGGCGGCTAGTGTTTAAGCTTAATAATAAACCCCAGGTGTGTCGAATAACTGAAGCATATGGTGCAGGTTTGTTGATTTATTCCGAAGCCTCTAGCAGGCTAGGAGATATTCCGGTTGTAATTTTAGTAGATAAATCAACCTTGCCGCGAGTAGAGAAGAAAGTCAAACATTGGTTTGAGGCCAGAGACAGAAGCAGCGAGAGTGAAGCTGAATCGGAGGAAGAACAGGGTTCCCAACTGATGGTGCGTGGCACACCCAAAGGGACGCTCAGGTCAGAATACGGATCCCAACAAAAATGCAGCACTCGGATCCCTGGAGGCAAAACACCTGAAAGAGTGAGTTGGTTATCCCCAGTTACAGCCCATGAGCAAGGTGAGAACAGAGAAAATGTAGAGCAACAACCCCAGAGAGCATAAAAAGGAGATGAGACAAATCCTATAGTTTATGGCATTAGAGGACTAAATAAGAAAAGCCGTCCAGTACAGATGAAATATTATGACCCTCAGGCACCTCCTAACATAGGCCCAGTTAGACCGGTTCCAGAACCAGGACGAGGCCAGTTTGCAATTAATACAGAGGGAGACCAGAATTATGCAGGAGAAGAAGCAGAAAATCCTTTTCCAGACTGGTACCCTGTAGATGGTTTCACGGATTCGGCAATTCAAGCAGCGAAGAGTAGGGAAGAAGTCATGTTGCAACCAGGATGGGGGAAACCTTTTAAGCATGCTTATTTGGGCCAAGGATATGATTTTTATCGAGGTGGATGTATGGCTAGAGATTCGGCAGTGAAAACTCACTGCTACTCGCCGTGCAGCCCCTCCCAACCTTTGGATGCAAACCGAAGCACTCCGCAGGGAGGACAGTTTAATTCAATGCCTAAGGAAAGAATCCTAGAACAGGAATATTCCCCATATTGGCAAACTGCTCAGGAACAGTCAAGAGTAAGCTTAGGACATTTTGATCAAACCATTCTGCCACAAAGAGCACCGAGTGAGACAGACGCTGGATATGTACAGCGGCTTCAGGATCGAGGTATGACGATTGAACAACTTTCAAGTCCAGAGATTTCTCAGGTTATAGCATTAAAAAACGATCTGCGTTTAACCCCAGGAGCCTCGCTGATATCCCTGGCGGAGAGTTCTCCCAGAGGGATTGGTGAGGATTCTGGTGAACGACGGAGGAAAGCTTTAAGCGCTGAAATCAGTACAGGAAAAGTTACATTAGCTGGGTGTTTAGGAACAATCGCAGGGCTTTCACAGGTCCAGCAAGAAAAACTTTTAGCTGATCTGCCAGGGTAATTAATGATGGCTGCGATGTGGCCTATCTCTCTCCTGCAGAAAAAATCCGACAAGCGCAGGCGTGGGATCGCACAAGGGAATTTAAGCAGTCAAAAAACGAATTAGGACGGCAGGCCGGAAACAGATTGAAAGGTCAGATAACATCCCCTCTGTCCCCTCCACACCAACAGCAAGGGAGCCAATCAGTGAACTCTCAACCGAGGCAACTCCCACCCAGGACAGAACCGAATCAGAACCAGAGAACCAGGGGCCAAATGGACCCGAATGCAAGGCCGTTTTTCATGGGACCCCCCGGCTGCCCTGTGGCTCGACCCAGGAGAGCGAATCCGGAGGAGTGGGCCCGGATGACCAGAGAACAGAAAGAGAAATTGATCCAATCAATCAAAGATTGGGACGCGAAATACAGCAATCAGAGAAGACCGCCACCACAAAAGTAGAAATAATTGAGGCGCTCTCATCTCATACGCATTGGGATGGGGAGTGGCTTAAAGTAAAATACGAAAATACAAAATACATTTTAGATACCGGGGCATTAATATCAGTAAAGCGTGAAAATAATCCGATGGAACAAATAGGATACAAGAATGTGATACTCGCAGACGGCTCTGTACGTAACATGGCAGTTCATAAAGACGAACAGGGCATTCTTTACATAAAAGGTGCAGAAAACTTAATTAGTTTAAAGGATTTAGTAAAAATAACAAAAGACCCAGCACTGCATGTGAGTTTTTTAGGTGAATTAAATATGGACAGTCTCATTAAAGAGCAACTGGAGAAAACTAGTCTGGACCCACACAAACTCAGAGAAATAATCCAAAAAGGTAATTGGGCTACACACAAAAATGATTGTGGCAGAGTAAAAGAACAATGCATTATTAAAGGAGCGATGCCCGCCAGGGAAAAACAGTATCCGATCAGAGAAGGAAGAGATGAGATCAGGTGTACTCTCGCTGAGCTTAAAGAAAAAGGGATAATCGAAGAGAAAAATACATTATCCACCTGTCTTCCCATTCAGGCTGTTCCTAAACCTGATGGCACTTACAGACTGGTACACAATTTGAAAGGATTAAATAGAGTGACTCCGCACGACGTGCGAAAAACTTTTGACCCGTACATGCAGCTCCGAACCATGCCTATTAAAAAATATAAAACATGCATCGATTTGGCTAATGGCTTTTGGTCTGTACCCTTAGCTCAAGAAAGTCGAGCTAAAACTGGATTTACATTTGAAGGGAAGCATTATGAATGGTGCGTTTTGCCTATGGGATGGGTAAATGCGGCAAATAAATTTCACGGTGTCGTACAGTCATATGTAACCCTTTACTAACTATGTAATAACCGAGTAACATATATTTAATAATAAAAGACAATTCTGGACCAGTCTCAGAAGATATAAATTCGTACGGAGAGCCAAGGTGAACTTAAATATGGATGAATGCCACAAGGTAAGTTTTTTTCCTTTATGTGTACTCAACAATAACAAAACACAGTTGACAATCTGAACACAGTAGTGCAACCCAATTCTCCGAACAATGAACAAAAAGAAATTACAATTGGCCGGCAAAACGTACATTAACAAGGAAAAATAAAGTATTAAACCCACTTTAATACCCTTCAATCGTTGGGGCCCTTTTTTTCTCTTTTCCCTTGTCACTGGTTTGTGTCCAATGCAACAGTTCAATTGTCCTACCACACAGGCAGAGGAAAAGGAAGGGTGCCACACCCTCTTCTGTCCTGAGGTTCCACTGGCTCGCCACCCAGCGTCCGCTGGGAGTCTTCTAAGGATTCAGGTTCCAGGATCTGATGCGACTTCGCAGGGATGCTTCAACCGAGCAAGTTCAAGGTTCTTTATCCGGATCTGTCCAATACTAAAAAAAAACCTGACCTGCAGATCGGCCAGAAAAACCCAAAGGTTTATTACGATCACATCATTTTTCTCATATATCCCATCAAATAATGATCTTATCCATCTGATATTAATTATTCCAATTTATACCCTCCCAATTCAATTTCACTACAAGTGAATTCTGATATGTATAATATAGAATTACAATTACACACTAAAGTGCAACATTCACCAAATCTTATTACATCAGCTTGATGCTAATTTAGCACTAGGGATCATCATAGAACCAGTGGTGGTTTCTATATAAATTAATATAACACACATCAAAGATCAGAGATACCTCACAGTAATCACACATTCAACCAATTTACAGATATTACAGTCATTCGTGTGCTATCAGCTACCTGTCTGCACCGGTATCAGAACAGGAGCGCACCAAAAATTGATTTCAACTCACCCATGACAAGAAAAAAAACATCCTAACACATCTCCATTATACTAACATTTTACATCAGTCACATTCTGACAGTCATAATCAAAATAGTCTTTTCTCTCTTCAGCTGAACTGAATACACCTTAAAAAAAAAAAAGTTTTACAACACACTTAGTTCCATTTTCCAGCTAATGGAAAAACTAGGCTAACTTAGCCACCCTAGCCAGGTGCTAATCACACTTTTCACCAATTGTCCCCATCATGTCAGCTTTTACACCTTATTTCATTCACTCTATGGCCGTTACATATATATATTAACGTCCCATAACCTAAATTTATCACATCTCACTCACCGTCAAGTCAAGATGGGGTCTCTCAGATTGATCCAGCATCGGCGCCGACCGAGTGCCAATAACGGAGCTCTACAACCATAAACACGACGATATAACCACCGTCCGATAGCAAGTACTTTATATTAACATCAGCTTTGGTCAAAAAGTCATTTTTTATCTGCTTACCATGCGGATGGCGGAAGATTCTAGTTTTCAGTTTCTAGCGATGACACGAGGCTGTTTCACTCACAGGAAGTAAGGAACCAGAAGTGTCATGACCTTGGTCTGTTTTAGCCTTCCAATTGGTCGGGTTCTCCCGAGGGATCATGGGAAACGTAGTAACACCATATTTTGACAGAAAATCCATTAACTAGCAGTTCTTTAATCAATGAAATCTTATTTATTTGACAGTTTACCAATAAAATACTTATTTGATGGTTTTTTCCTCAATTTATGTCAGATATAATTACTTAAGCACATTTTAATGGAATGATATTTTATATAAAAATAGATTTCTCCTAAACCTTGGTTACAGTCTCCCCTGCTGAACTCATGTACGTCCCTGTACATGGAAATAATCAGACACAATGAATTTGAGGTTGGCATGGTGGAGAAGCTGTTGTGGCTACTCGATTATCATGTAAAGCATCAGACAATACAGTGGTCAGCCCATGAAAAAATGATTTCACTACTGTGACCAGAGGGTTTCCAAGTTCTGGATAATCAAGTCTCTTTGGTGGTTGACGTTCTCTGTCCGATCGCCTGATAGGGATGTCGGTAACGGTTATCCTTCCTCCTTCATTTGGTTCCAATTTGTCCATTCCAGATTCTTTATTCACACATTCCTCGTCTCCAGTTCTTTCAGTTTCATCTTCTCTACCTGTCCTCTGGGGAGACGTGGAAGGAAGTTCAACACCAGGGTCATTAGGATCAGGTAAGTTTACACTTTCCACAACGGATTCCTCTTCAGTTTGGTCGGTGTCAGCTCTGTGACTTTTGCTGTGTTCTTTTTCAGGTACTGCATCAGTGAGAGTGACTCTCTCAGCAGGTAAGTGCTCTGTGGTCTCATGATCATTGGTAGTTCTGTCAGGTTCCGAGGAACTTAATAGAACATCAGTAGACGTTTCCGGTGGTTTTGACATTTCAGGTAAGTGATCTGACACCTGCGTGTTTACTGGGCTCTCAATGCGATAGATATCTGGAGGTGCAATCTGTTGCCCATCTTGTTCGGTTGACGTTAGATCTTGCAGACGTTCTGGACTTCCGTGAGTTGGAAGCACACGTAGTTCTGGAGTGTCATCGAACCATACGACAGGGATATACTCTTCGTCTTCTTGCTCAGAGAATTCAGCATCTGCAATGGAATTAGCCCGAGTTACTACCCTTCGCTTCGCAGATGGCTTAACAGGGTCGCTGACCCGTTCCACGGGTAAAAATCCACACGGAAGAAGTAAATCTCTGTGTAATGTCCTCATTGGTCCTGCAGAGGTCTCTGGTCTTACTTTGTAGACAGGTAGGGTACCCGCTCTGCTCACCACAACATGGACATTAGACTCCCATTTGTCTGAGATCTTGTGTTTGCCTCTTAAACGTACATTTCGGACTAGGACTCTGTCTCCGGGTTCCAAATCTGAGGTACAAACACGTTTGTCAAATCGCTTCTTGTTCTTTTGTGCAATCTTTGCGGCGTTGGTCGTAGCTAACTTGTAGCTTTGTTCAAGACGTGATTTCAAACTTCGGACATACTCAGAGTGCGATGAGTGTTGGTTATCCCGCAACGGTAATCCAAATGCCAAATCAACTGGTAAACGAGCCTGTCGCCCGAACATTAGCTCGTATGGTGTAAAACCTGTAACGTCGTTCTTCGTGCAGTTATAGGCATGGACAAGGGGTCTGACGAAATCCCGCCAGTGTGCCTTCTCTTGGTTCTCGAGGGTACCCAACATGGCAAGCAAGGTACGATTAAATCGTTCCACGGGATTACTCCGGGGGTGATATGGAGTGGTCCTGGTTTTGTGAATACCGGTTATCTGACAGAGTTCTTTTATCGTCCGAGATTCAAAATCTGGCCCTTGGTCGCTGTGCAGTTTTTCTGGCATGCCATAATGCACCATGAAATTCTCCCACAGGCACTTTGCCACGGTACGGGCTTTTTGGTTAGGTGTTGGAATGGCAACAGCAAACTTTGTGAAGTGGTCCGTGATTACCAGGATGTCCTTGGTACCACTCTTATCAGGTTCGAGGGAAAGAAAATCTATGCAGAGAAGCTCGAGAGGCCTTGTGGTTGTGATGTTAGCGAGAGGTGCAGCTTTCTCTGGCGGCGTCTTCCTTCTGACACACCTGCCACAAGTTTTCACTTTCCTCTCCACATCCATAGCCATCTTCGGCCAATAGAACCTGCTTCTGACAAGGTCTAGAGTGCGATCAACTCCCATATGTCCCATGTGGTCGTGGAGACTAGTTAAAACTGTGCCTCGGAACTCAACAGGGAGGACAAGTTGATGGAATGTCTTGGGACCTTCTTGGCGTCTTCTGTATAGGACATTATTCACCAGCTCAAGGCGATTAATCTCTTTTAGTAAAAGGGGAAGTTCAGGGAGTTCCTCCCGCAGGGTAGGCGGTGGCGTCTCCCCACTCTCAAGTTGGGGGATGACATGTCTTAGACATTGGTCTGATCTCTGCTTAGCTGCAATGTCGGCCTCAGACAGGTGAGTGACATCAGGGGATGCATCGGATCTATCTGCATGTTGGAAACAACTTGGCACTGCATTCCCGGAGATAGCTAGACACTCAACCAGAGCAATGTTGTCAACGTTATTTCCGTTGTCGTTAAAGCTGTAGATCAGCTGCCTCTCGCAAATCGCTTGGACAACTTCCTCGCTGACAGTGTCAACGTTCTCCGGATCAGAGAGGTGCTCCTTTGTGAACTGAAGGATTCGTTCTCTCTCTTTCTGTGACCTGAGATCATCCTCTAGCTTTCCATGCGGTCTGCGAGAAAGACCATCGGCATCGAGGTTCTGTCTTCCTGGGCGATAGATGAGTTTAAATGAGAATGTGGATAATGCTGCTAACCATCTGTAGCTCGTCGCATCCAGTTTTGCAGAGGTAAGTACATAGGTTAGCGGATTGCTATCCGTTACAACAGTGAAGTGATTTCCATAAAGATAATCTGCAAATTTTTCAGTGACTGACCACTTTAACGCCAAAAACTCCAATTTATGTGCTGGATAGCGACTCTCACTCCGTGACAGCCCTCTGCTCGCATAGCCGATCACTCTCATCTGACCCTCCTGTTCTTGATAGAGGACTGAACCTAGTCCAGTAGTGCTGGCATCTGTGTGAAGCACATATGGCCTCTGAGGGTCGGCAAATCCCAGCACGGGGGCGGTGGTCAGTTTGTAAATCACCTCCTCAAAGGCTTGTTGGCAAGCGGAAGTCCATCGTTCCCCAAAGGGCTCCTTTGGGTCTCGGTACTTGTCCAATTTACCTGGTGTCTTGAGTCCTTTTCGGGATGGTGGGTATCCAGAAGTCAGATCATGGAGAGGCTTCACAATGCAGGAATATCCCTTGACGAATCTTCTATAATATCCTGCAAAACCAAGGAATGATCTAAGTTCTCTGAGACTTTGTGGAACAGGCCAGGTCTCGAGGGCAGCTGTCTTTTCCGGGTCCGTCCGGACGCCATCTCTGAAGACCACATGTCCAAGGTAGCGGACTGATGTCTGGAAAAAGACACATTTCTCAGGGGACAATTTGAGTCCGAATTCTCTTAATCTGGAGAGCACCTTCATTAGCCTCTCCTCGTGTTCTTCAAGAGTCTTGGAGAATATTATTAAGTCGTCAAGGAATACGAGCACTTCTTTCAGATGCATGTCCCCCATGCACTTCTCCATTAACCTCTGAAACGTGCTCGGGGCATTTGTCACCCCTTGAGGCATCCTATTAAACTCCCAGAACCCGAGGGGGCACACAAAGGCGGTTTTTGGCTTATCTGCCTCTTCAACTTCTATCTGGTAGTAGCCAGATTTCAAGTCGAGCACAGAAAACCACTGGGAGCCATTTAGTGCACTAAACGTGTCCTCAAGCTTAGGAAGAGAGTATGCATCCTTGATAGTTTGAAGGTTTAACCGCCGGTAGTCAATGCATAATCTGACTTGGCCGTTTTTCTTTCTCACCACCACAATAGGTGAAGAGAATGGAGACTCGGATTCCCTGATAACTCCCGTGTCGAGGAGCTCCTGGATATGGTTGCGAACTGCTTCAATGTCCTGTGGGTGGATTGGGCGCGCACGCTGTTTGAAAGGGGTTTCATCAGAAAGCTTTATATGGTGCTTTACTCTGTCTGTGCGGCCAAAATCTGTGTCATGCTGTGCAAACACATCACCCATACTGTCCAATTGCTTTGCCATGTGGTCTTTCCATTCAGCTGAAATCGGGGACCCATCAAAATTAAAATTTAAGGTGGACTTTGGAGACGTCTTTGTTCCTAGTGGTTCTTGGGATGGTACGGCTGATCGTGCTGTACTGAGCTGCTTCGAACAGATGGTCTGGTAGGTGTTCATCTGTGCTATGATGCACTTTGGGGGGATAACAACATCATGGTCAGACTCATTGCAGATGTGGACTGGTACCTTGTAAGGCCGCCTGGGCGTAAGTTGAACTAAGGTGGGTTTGACAACCAATCCTCCAGGCAAGGAGGATGAGTCTGGATGTTCAAGCAGGGCAGATTTCTCGTTTAGGAACCAACTGGTGGTTGCGACCCCCTCAAGTATGACAACCTGCCCAGCCGGGATCACTTGTGAGTTGTTCTCCAACCTCACTATGGCGTGAGGTTCAGGATTTGTCTCTCGTCTGTGTCTCACTTCAAGCACCTTAAGCACTGCCTGGTAGCCACTGGGAATGGGTTGATGTGAAATCCCAGTTTTGGAGCAGACATCGAAGAGGACGTCGAGAGTGTTGGTCCCTATCAACACGAGAGGTTCAATGACAGTGCTTAGATTGGGGACAACTAAGGCAAGTGTGGTTACATCAGTTGGAGTTCCTATAAACTCTTTTGGAAACCTGACGACCAATTCAACATAGCCTAAGTAGGGGATTGATTGCCCTGCGGCTCCCTCTACTTCCAGGATGTCATGAAGTGGTTTTATCTTCTGGTCTGAGAGATGCTGGTCATAAAACGACCGCGGAATTGTCGTTACTTGCGACCCTGTGTCGAGCAAGCAGCTGATTTCCTTGTCTTTTATATTTATCAACGCTGTGCTTTTTGTTCCGACTAGTCCTTTAGGAAGCCTATACTGAGGTTTGTTATCCATTCTTGATTGGTCTTTGCTTGTGCAGGATTGACAGCTAACAGCAACAATTTTCACTGAGGGACTTTGGCTAGTCTCAGCTCCTGTCTGTCCCACAACAGAAGCTGTCAGCCGTTTAAATGCGACTTGGGGCTGGTCTTCATCTGCCACTCATTTTGCTTCTTCTCTAGCTGTTTACGCTTCTCAGCCACTAAAACAGGATTGGGGGCCTCTGTGCATGATGATGAAATGTGGCCATCCTCCCCACACTTAAAACAGTACCAGGGTCGGGGTTTACCCGTCTGCTTTGGGTCTGTCTGTGGTTTTATATCTCCACTTGGTTTTCCTTGGCTTTGAGCTCTTTGTGTTTTTGCCTTTTTATCCGATCCTTTTTTCTGCTCCATAAAGGAGGCTAGTTGGCTCTGTAATGTGGCAACTTGCTTGGCAAGACTCACGATTGCACTTGGGCAATTATCTGGACGTTCGTTTAGGTCTGCATCCACGCAGTGAGCCTGAATCTGAATTCGCTGACGTGTAGTGCTCATATGTCTCTTCATGCGGTTGGCTTTTGTCCGTCGCCGATCTTCCTCTGTACGAAGCATTAACAAAAGCTCACCAAATGCTGGGGGTCTGCTTTTCACTTGTTCAAGCTGCAAGGTGGACAGCAGGGTGCTATCCCAGCAGCCTCTACAAAACTGCTTCAGGAGGTGTCTGTCGACTTCTTTTGGCATAACCCCACCTCTCTGTACTGCCAGGTTTAACGCTGATTGTAGCCGATGAAGATACGTAGAAGCCCCCTCCCCTGGGTCTTGGAATGTGTTCAGAAATTGGGCGAATAACTCTTCCCCATCTTCCACGATACTGAAAGCAGAGTCAAGTAATTGCAGGAAGGCCAGAGGGGGAGAGTTTGGCTGCAGTCCTTTAATCACATCTGATGCAGGTGGGAGCAAGCTCTCCACTATCTTCCTGGTAATCTGCAGAGGAAGCATGTTAGGGTCGCTCAACAGCAGTTCAATGTGTGACCTCCAGGTGTCGTAATCCGGTTCATTGTTGGGCCTTGGATTCTTTCCAGAAAAGGAGCGAAGTCTGACTTGGGACTGGAAATGAGGGTTGGTTGCTTCACTCCTCACAATGTGTTCCACTACGACCTTCTGAACTTCTGGCGGGTTCATGTCCTTTGCTGATGGCGAAGGGATCACTTTGGATCTAACAGCAGGATTGGTATCAGGTGAGGTAAGCTCACCCCTTTGGTCGAGGGCACCTATGGACGGAGAAGGGGGTTTCTGCCCTGTCGAACCCACTATCCCCTGAGATTCAATGGTAGTTTCAGTCTGGGTATCAGAAAATGTCTCGGCCGTAGAACCAAGAGTTTCAATGTCTCTACTGATTTGAACCACTGCGTCTTTAAGAATGTGTTCATATTCAGCACCGCTAAGTTTAGCTAATGCTTTAAGATCAGAAAGGTAAGTTCTGGTAATAATACCACTGACTTTAGTTTGGTACACACTGCTCAGAGCTCTAATGGTGTAAACCACAGAGGGATCGTCCTTTAAGACGTAACGATAAGGTAGCATTACACTTAATGCCTCTAACGCAGCGCCATTTGAATACTCAACGATCAGGTTTTGGTAAAGTTCTGGTATCTTTTCATCAACTAGAATAGTTCTATGGATAGATCCGTATTTCTGAAGGAAATCTATGACCTCTTCATCTTGTTCTCCTACCTGGGTAAGCCCACTGACAACAACTGCATTGGGAACTTTTACACCACTCTTTAACAAAAAATCCATTTTGGGAAAACATTCAATATTGAAGTTCATTCAATGGCTCTCCTGGCTGGCTCGCCAAATTTATGTAACCCTTTACTAACTATGTAATAACCGAGTAACATATATTTAATAATAAAAGACAATTCTGGACCAGTCTCAGAAGATATAAATTCGTACGGAGAGCCAAGGTGAACTTAAATATGGATGAATGCCACAAGGTAAGTTTTTTTCCTTTATGTGTACTCAACAATAACAAAACACAGTTGACAATCTGAACACAGTAGTGCAACCCAATTCTCCGAACAATGAACAAAAAGAAATTACAATTGGCCGGCAAAACGTACATTAACAAGGAAAAATAAAGTATTAAACCCACTTTAATACCCTTCAATCGTTGGGGCCCTTTTTTTCTCTTTTCCCTTGTCACTGGTTTGTGTCCAATGCAACAGTTCAATTGTCCTACCACACAGGCAGAGGAAAAGGAAGGGTGCCACACCCTCTTCTGTCCTGAGGTTCCACTGGCTCGCCACCCAGCGTCCGCTGGGAGTCTTCTAAGGATTCAGGTTCCAGGATCTGATGCGACTTCGCAGGGATGCTTCAACCGAGCAAGTTCAAGGTTCTTTATCCGGATCTGTCCAATACTAAAAAAAACCTGACCTGCAGATCGGCCAGAAAAACCCAAAGGTTTATTACGATCACATCATTTTTCTCATATATCCCATCAAATAATGATCTTATCCATCTGATATTAATTATTCCAATTTATACCCTCCCAATTCAATTTCACTACAAGTGAATTCTGATATGTATAATATAGAATTACAATTACACACTAAAGTGCAACATTCACCAAATCTTATTACATCAGCTTGATGCTAATTTAGCACTAGGGATCATCATAGAACCAGTGGTGGTTTCTATATAAATTAATATAACACACATCAAAGATCAGAGATACCTCACAGTAATCACACATTCAACCAATTTACAGATATTACAGTCATTCCTGTGCTATCAGCTACCTGTCTGCACTGGTATCAGAACAGGAGCGCACCAAAAATTGATTTCAACTCACCCATGACAAGAAAAAAAACATCCTAACACATCTCCATTATACTAACATTTTACATCAGTCACATTCTGACAGTCATAATCAAAATAGTCTTTTCTCTCTTCAGCTGAACTGAATACACCTTAAAAAAAAAAAAGTTTTACAACACACTTAGTTCCATTTTCCAGCTAATGGAAAAACTAGGCTAACTTAGCCACCCTAGCCAGGTGCTAATCACACTTTTCACCAATTGTCCCCATCATGTCAGCTTTTACACCTTATTTCATTCACTCTATGGCCGTTACATATATATATTAACGTCCCATAACCTAAATTTATCACATCTCACTCACCGTCAAGTCAAGATGGGGTCTCTCAGATTGATCCAGCATCGGCGCCGACCGAGTGCCAATAACGGAGCTCTACAACCATAAACACGACGATATAACCACCGTCCGATAGCAAGTACTTTATATTAACATCAGCTTTGGTCAAAAAGTAATTTTTTATCTGCTTACCATGCGGATGGCGGAAGATTCTAGTTTTCAGTTTCTAGCGATGACACGAGGCTGTTTCACTCACAGGAAGTAAGGAACCAGAAGTGTCATGACCTTGGTCTGTTTTAGCCTTCCAATTGGTCGGGTTCTCCCGAGGGATCATGGGAAACGTAGTAACACCATATTTTGACAGAAAATCCATTAACTAGCAGTTCTTTAATCAATGAAATCTTATTTATTTGACAGTTTACCAATAAAATACTTATTTGATGGTTTTTTCCTCAATTTATGTCAGATATAATTACTTAAGCACATTTTAATGGAATGATATTTTATATAAAAATAGATTTCTCCTAAACCTTGGTTACAGTCATATCTGGAAGGTTTACCTGTCGTTCAATATATCGATGACATATTTTTCACGCATGATTGTGAAAGCGAACACCTGAAAACTTTGGACGAGGTGGTGACCAGACTGACATGTGCAGGATTCAAACTCAACTTGAAGAAAAGCCAGCTAGGACGCACAAAAGTTACGTTCCTAGGTTTTGAAGTGTCAGATTCAGTGTCGGTACCTTTCACCTATCTGCAAAACATAACACCCCCGCATGATTTACTGACGCTGGAAGGTGTAATCGGACAGCTTCAGTACATTTCCAGCAACGTCCGTGATTTTCGAAACATCATTGATCCCATAATGTCACTTAAAAAAGGTCTCAGAACCAAAGTGGGTCAGAAACTGGTGACGCACAACCGCAAACTGAGCTCACAGGAGCTTGAGACTTATCAAGCAGTAATGGTTAAAATAGGTACTAATCTAGTGAATCTTTCAAATAGAGAGCATCATGAACCGTTAGCTGTAAGAGTGATTGTAGGACAGGATTTCACAGAGTGTTTATTTCAGAACTATGACAGCAAGAGTCTGATAACATGTAAGGGCTATAAACTCGCACCAACAGAGGGCCGTTACACGCCCAGCGAAAAGGTGCTGACCACCCTGATGAAACATAAAGATATGATGTTCGCTCTGGCCGGATCACAAAAAATCATAATTCAATCTACTGATTATATGATTAAAGAACTTCGGAAAGATCTCCTCCCACAGGCGAGGGCCGTTTTACCCAGATGGGCAAAGTGGGAGATGTTATTGGCAAACCCGCAGATTCACGTGGAAGGAGAAACAAAACTTAAGCCTGACAGGAAAGAAGTTGTTAAACCCATAAAACCAGAGGCAGTTTACTACACTGATGGATCTAAGAAAACAGCAGATGCAGACTTCTGTAAGTGGGGGTTTGTGAGACAGCTAAAGGACAGGAAGTATCAGCAAGCTGGACAGGCAATTGGGTCTGCTCAGACTGCTGAACTAACAGCCGTTGTCATGGCGCTTGCTGACGCGTGTAAGCTGAAGCTCAAATCAGTAAGATTGGTCACAGACTCTAAATATGTGAAAGATGGACTAGATGATCATTTAGCATTTTGGGAAGCTAAAGATTTCCAGAAAACTGATGGAGAGAGATTGGAACACGCTGACTTGTGGACTTTAGTATCGTGTTATAAGAAAAAATTATAGATTCAGGTGACACATGTAAATAGCCATACAAATGGAAAAAGCGAGGATGAGATCGGAAACGCAGAAGTGGATGAATTAGTACAAGCTCGAGCTTTGTTTCTACCCACAGCGTTTTTACAGAACAGGAGCGCTGCAGCTGATGAAGAGCTGGTGACATTTGCGCATAAAAATTACGGACACGTCGGAGCATTACGGTTGCGTGAGATTTTCAAAAAAGAAAATATTTCTGTACCAAAGCTGAAAGAACTAACAGCACGAGTAAAAGCGACGTGTGAGTCGTGTAAAGAAAAAGGAGGGGCTCCGCCCGTGATTTACGACCATTTGCCCATCATGTGTGATGTACCGGGGGTGCATTTCAGCACGGATGTTGGTGAATGTGCCTCGAGAGGAGTGAACGGACATAAGTTCTTTTTGGTAATCAAAGATAATGGACCAGGTGATCAGAGCAAGATAATACCGCTGAAACGTGTCACAGGAAATACAGTCAGCATGGCCTTATCTCTGCACCTGCCCCTCACTTGTGAGTCACTCCGTTCGGATGGAGGACCTGAATTTAAGAATGACAAAGTTTCTTGTCTGCTTGAATCAAGGGGGATAAGACACATTTTTTCTATCCCTTACGAGTCCCACACTAACGGAATAGCAGAAAGAGCAGTTAGGACGATAAAAAATCACATCCTGACTAACCTGAGCTCCCGATGGGATACACCGGAGGGAGTTTCAGAACTAAATGTGATCCTTAATAGGACGAAGCTGAAAAGAGCTGAGAAAAAAACTAACCCGGAACACGTCTCTGTGTTACAGAAAGGTGAAAGAATTTGGGTCAAAAGAGGACCGGTCCGAAAAGGAGATTGCATTAAGCATAACGTAAGTGGTCCCTTTATAATAAAAGACGTAACTGGGAACGTGGTTTTAACTGACACTGGTTTGCGCGTTCACCCTCATCAAGTTATAAAATAACTCCAAAAAATAAAATTAATTAATTAATTTAAAAAAAATTTTTTTAATTAATTAATTATTTTTAATTACTTGATTAAAGGTCATGGCTGGGCCAAAATCTAGTGAAGAAATGACTTGTAAGATCCCAGGTGATACGGGCCTAATTTTGCTAACGAAGGGGGATTCTGTTAAAGATTGTAAAGTGGCTATGTTTCCGGGCTTCATAGAATCTGCAAATGTGTATCGTTACGCGCAATGGGGAGGCTTGAGGCCTGGAACATGCGTGATATGCGGATTTCTGTGCACCCTAATTAAATGGTCGGGGCTCCGGGAGCAGAAGCCCACTCACCTGGAGAGAGGAACGGACTTGCATACAGGTGCAGTGGAGCTGTCTGCTCCCATTAAAATATGTTTTTGCGGAACCTGCTTGAGGAATAACCCAGGCATCATCTCCTGGCAGGTCTGTGAATGCACCCACAGAGGTGAAATCAAAGATGGGTGCTGTTTCACGAAGAATGGTGTTTTGACTACCTGCTTACCGACAAGCCAGCCAAGTATGTTTTTTGTAGGAGAGCTGCTCAGGAATCCTAGCCTGGTGAAGCCAGTTAGAGATTTATGGGTGGAAGCTTATCCATTCGTGGTCAAGCTCAAGACCAGAGAAAAAGGACTGGAAGAGCTTCAGGCTCGATCCAAATTTGAGTCTATTAAGAGCTTGATATTAGGACAGCAATTTGGTACGCTGGCTGATGCATGGGAAACAGGTACACAGATTGGGGTAACTCAAGAGTATAAAGATGACAGATGGGGAACTTATCTGTCAGGGACTCTGGACTGGCATACAGGATTGTCTGTTCAGGAGCCCCCAGGGATGCGTAAGCGTGTTACATCATACCTGGTTGAGCTGAAGAGTCTTGGACCAGGGGCGGAGCGTAAGTTCATGCCTTATCAGTTAACTTTGGTGGAGGTAATAGACCTGTCGGGTCGGATTTGCGGCTCGGCTGTTAACTTAGTGACCACCCGGAGAGGAGAGGCATAATGGCCTAAGATTTATGGGACTGCTCACACTAGAATGTCTCGTAGAAGGCTGGTCTCCAATCTGACTCTAACTAACTAGAGCAGGGCGCTTTCATTTCCTGCTGATTTTTATGCTTCTGTTTTACAGATGCTATCTACGCAGAAGCATAAGAGGGAAAGCAGCAGAAAACGAAAAGTGGTCAGGTATGCAACTCCGGCGGGAGTTGACCCCAAAGTTAAAAAAGAAAAATGTAAATATTCCGAAAGGAAAGAATTGGATAATAAAATGGATTAAATGGGCCTTTTTTATCCTTTTCGAATTTAGCCTTATAGGATTAAGTATAGCGATTGCATATGGGGTACATGTATATCTCCGAACGTATCGTGTGTCCTCAGTGACATATAACATAACTCGCGGAGGACCACAACAATTAGTAGGGAATTGGAATGTATCCAAAATTAAGCTGTTATGGCCCAAAGAAGATTTTAATGAGAATATAACCACCTGCATGATAGCAACACAG